AGAATAACTTTTGTAATATAAGCTACTTAGTCGTCATAAGTTTGAGAGACTTTTAACAACTGTCGTTTTTTTTTCAGTTATTATGGGGCGATATACAATTGTCTTTTAATACGAGGAATAAAAATAAATCTCAAGATACCAACCTACAGGTTACAGAAGGTTCATGGGTCATTTATGGGTCAAGGTGTAGATTTCTTTATTAAGATTCCTGATGATTAGCTGTAATCAAATTGCATCCTTATTAATAAATATTATTCATATCTATTAGTTGAAATATTTACAAATTAATATTTAAATAACAAAAGCTTACAACTACTTATTGTTACAATATTTGAATGATAAAACGGCCTGGTTGTAATTTTACCTGAAGAAAAATTTTCAAAAGTTATATTAAAACTGCGGGCCTCAAAACGAGTTTTGAATAGAACCGTGCACTTACTCCCTTTCATATAGGTACTTGCTGAATTCTATTAAAAATATTTTTTGCTATTTTGGGACTTTTCTTTACTCTTATTGTTAGTAAATTCCTTAATTGTTTATTGTTACCTATTTGACATTATGTAATGGAAGTTCAACTCAATACATATTTGTAAGTTTGATGTCAGCTTTCAATTAGACGACACTGTATGAAAAAAAACAGGGAGAAAAAAGCAGCCCTTGCTGAGTTTTTACAAGGTCTCCCGCCGTAGTTTTGCGAACCGATGGCGTAGTTTTCGACTTTCATATATTATGTGCTTGTAAAAGCCTAAACTGAATAAATGATTTATGAATTTTTAATATAAGTGTATTATACCTACAAAAGTATAAATTCGCGCCCAGCCGAGTGTGAAGCCCGTTTTACAACCACTAGTACGAATCACAAAGAGATATTAAATTTAAAAATGCAATGCAGTGAGATTGCCAGCAGTTGCCGAAAATGTGTTTGAAAGCCCCTCAAAGGGTATTCATAAATTCGGCATTATGAAAGTGCGCCGTAAAAGTAAATACTTTTAGTGTGACGAAACTCTTACCTAAGCTACAGTATTTCATAGTTTTAGCTGTTAAATCTTCTGTACCCTTAGCCAATATCGAATTAGAATAGACGAATTCTAACTTCATACGCGTCAAATGTCAAGAACTTTTGTATGGAAAGGACACGGTTCAAATGTGTATGGAGGGTGATAGTCAGTCTCCGACAGACTCCAATTTTTTTGTTGTAAATCGTTTTACTAAAAACTAGATTTTTTTTTATCTCCTTTTTTATAAAATAATAATAAATTTATAAAGGATGACATAGTTAGGTCCGTGGTTATTGATTGGCAAGTTTATTTATGTAATGTTTGTTGCCAAAGCATCAAAATGTTCTATTCAATAGGTAAATAAAGCAGTGATAATATTTTTTTTCACCTCTCCATATGTTATTTATTAGGTATTTTGTGGGTATTGAATTTCAAGAAAAATCAATAAAAATTGGTATACTCATTTCATTAAGATTTCACAAATATCAAGCATTACTGGAGACTGATTGACATTTTATCAAAGATTTAAATCTTTGCATTTTACAGTGTTTGAGTTGACAATATTAAACTGCTACGGACTACCAATACGACTATAATAATTACAGAGGGGCAGGCATCCTTACAAAATTGATCAATTTTCAAACACGATTTAAAATAGAAATAAATATCTTTTTTTATTTCATTGCATTTTTACACTGAATTGTTATCATAAATAGTACACTTTTAAGTTTCACGAACCAGGCGCATAGTTACCTACCTAAGTAGGTTCATAGGTACCTCCTCCAAAAGATTTAATAATCAGTCATTTAAAAAAAACTTTATTTTTTCTTTTAATGAAGTGCGCTTTTATAAACAGAGAGCATACTTATGAAAAATAAAACACGCAGAGTATAAAAATAATGCAACCAGCAGCATATTTGTTTATTTTATGAATGTCATATAAATATCAACGCAATAAAAAGAACACACGAACAAACACGTGACGAAATTTGGTAATATAATACAATGACTGATAAGAAAGGTAGCACATTAGGTACCTACAAAAATATTACTTTCATGTTCATGATCATTAATTTACCGTAAAATTATAATAATAGCATCTCGATGACGCAAGTTTATGATCACTGTTAAGCAACTTTTACAGTGACTAGATATAGGATGGGTGACTAAATAATTATGTGTATATTCTCAAACTGCTCCATGCTTCGGTACGGTAAATATGTCAAGTCGTTGATTCCGCTTAAATCTGCACGTACAGAATCGTCTGTAAGATACAATCGCACTTACGATATCATTTATTCTGATTTTTATCAATATCAATGTTTTATCGAATATGTTGAGATTGTTTGTGGTGTGATTTCAGTTTGTCTTTATAATTTTCTCGGGCGATGTAAAAGAAAACAACTAAGCTCAATATAATAATAAAAATTAATTTATTCCACAAAAATATTAACAATTTATTTCACAAAAGTATATTACAAATTTCATGTTCCCAGTGGAATAAAAATATATTAAAATTTACAAAATTTATAATACAAAGGAATTATTTATAGGTAACATTTTGCGTACAGTTAGCCAATAAAAATAAATATGTACACATGCAAAATAAAATAAAAATAAAACATTTAAAGAATTTTGGCACAATTTGCTTAGCCAGACTTCGAGATAATTTAATTATTAATAAAAAATGAGCATTCTTATTCCATTATGATAATTGAAAATTCATAAGTATCCTTAACATATATTTTTAACTGGCACAAAATTCGTACAAAATATAAAAAAGGAACGGTATTTAGAATAGTGTTAGGGCTTAAATTAAAACAGAGAATTAGAAATATACTAGCTGACCCAGCGAACTTCGTACCGCCATAAAAATAAGGGCAGGTGGTAGAAGAGAACATTTAGGGTTGTATGTATTTTTTAATACCAAATTATAGAAAAATAAATATTGTCTAAAAAAATTTTAGGGGTGTGTAACGTAGTGTTCTTTCAATTTCCTGGAATAACATTCCTCCTAACCCATATGAGAACACTACGTTACAATACCCAATAGTTTGAATTTTGGCGCGAAGATAGTAGCCGATTCTCAGACCCACGGATTATGCATATAAAATTTCATAAAAATCGGTCAGGCCGTTTCGGAGGAGTATGGTAACTAACATTGTGACACGAGAATTTTATATATAAGATAAACGGGCACAAAAGTTTATTATAGACATCTCATTTCAACAGTCTGTTCGTATATTTAATAAGACATATTTTTCGTCACAATTTATTATGACCCAATCATGGTCATTTTTAGGGTCAGATTTTACAAAAGGTACCATTAAAATATACGAAAAATATTAAGTGGAACATATTTAAATAATTAAGTAAAAAAAATTACAAAAGAAATGTTTCTATTTCAAACTAAGGGCCTGTTTCACAATCGCTAGGTAAAGTTCTAAGTAAGCTAATCTGCTCAGTAAAGAATAGGGATGTTGTAAATGATCGGAAAAGCGTTTAAAAGCAAGCAAAAGTGTCCTGTCAAAGTCAAAGTCAACATCCCTATTTGTTTACTAAACAGATAAGTTCTAAGTAGTTTATTTGGAACTTTACTCAGCGATTGTCAAACAGACCCTTAAACTAATATAGAGCCCTAACACTGGCAAGAAATGTCATTTTTCAGATAACAAGAATCAATAATAATGAGGATTAAATTTCCGAGATGGCAATTAGAAGACCATAAAAGAGATTCGATAAAAACGAAAAAATATAAAAAACATTTATACAAAAATATTTGTACCTGTACACATCAGGTACTTAATTTATTTTACATTGTGTAATGCCACAATTATTTACACTTTTCATAAGTTATTATTATTCATATTATGCACAGTTTGTTCACATTTATATAAGACTAGCCATCGCTAAGTAAGTGCAAACACTATTAAGTACATTACATACGTACAAAAGTATCTAAAAATTCGTTATTCACATCAACTAACTACGTTGAAGCAATTTCAGTCGTAATTCCTACATTTTTAAACTTAAAATTATATTGACATTCGTTGAACACAATGCTGACCCTTTAGTCAACTAAAACCGCAGGACGAATTGACTAATTTTAATTTGAGAAAATATTGCCTGTGTAATTCCATTATGGACAAAAGCACATAACTCGAACACAATGAAGGTTTTCTGGAATGACGGGCGCCAGGTTGCAGCACTGATACCAAAGATCAATCAAATAACCTATGTCGTCATGGTCTATGGATCAATTTAAATGAGAAGCTGGCGAACAAAACGGTATAATTACGCATCTGGTCAAACTACTTTTTTTACAGTCCGGAGGTTTCGGGCCCGTTGAATTTGAATCTCAAATAATGTTCAATCAAAACCGCCTTAAACAGTGTTAAAAATACTAAATTTATAAATTAAAAACCATCCAAAACCTCACTGGAGGTATGTCATTCAGTTTTATACATTATTGTAATTTTACCGTTTTGTTCGCCAGCTCCTCAAGTATGATTCAAAATATTCTATTATCTTTTAACTTTTAAGCATTTAACTGCTATATATTTAAATAGTCATTCGATCAATACGCACCAAAAACTTCATACAAAAGACCTAACGTCACAGTGGCGCCAACTGGTGCCGTAATTTTTCTAAACACACTCATTACAAACTTTGCCTCAGTTACAAACTCACCAATCTAAAACATACATTAGGTGAACTCAACCCGCTTGTTCCAGTTGAATAAAGAAGCTTATATCTCCACGCTTATATTACAAGATGGAGATTATCAAATTATCTAACTTCATAATTTCACTTCACTAAGTTCGATAGATAGATCACGTTAATGACACTCCAATTCAGGCACCAATAAGGCTTTTTAGGTTTGGCTAAACTTATCTTCTTCTTTACCAGTATATCCAAAAAAAACAAACCTAATTCCTCGGATATAAGATAAATTTGCAATCATATCACAAATTCATTAGAACAAGTCCATCACAATCATTATTATAGTTCAGTTGTCGTCTCTACTGGTGACTGGTCGTACGAATATCCAATGAAATTCCTTTTACCGAATGTGACGTTGTCGTTTTCGGAAGCCCTGCAACAAAACACTGTTATTAGTCATATTATATCATTGGAAATGTCTGCTTCTTCTGTTCACACTTAACAAAAAAGGAGATGATTTTAATTTGTGGTAATAGTTATATATATAATAACTAGCTTATCCAGCAAACTTCTTACCGCCATAAAAATAAGAGTTGGTGGTAGAGGGGTGAAAATTTGGGGTTGTATGAATTTTTGTATGATGTATCATAAAAAAAATAAAAACAAAAATTTTTGTACAAACAAATAAATTAAGTGTGGAACAGATGTTGTCCGATTCTAAGACCTACTGAATTTGCATATAAAACACGAAAATCGGTCGAGCCGTTCCGGAGTAGTTCAACTACGCACACCGTGACACGAGAATTTTATATATTAGATAATAAATAATATATTTTATTCAGAGAATGTCAACGTTGCATAATAATAAGGCAGAGGAGATAAGGGATACAAAAAGATTCTAAGGCCCGTATTAATAAGATCGCTCTGAGTATCTTAGTGCGATCTTGAGTCCGTGCTTGAGATACCGTTTTGTATGAAAACAGACTCAGAATTGAGAGCGATCTATTTATACGGGCCTAAGATGCTGTTTCTATCATTGAAAGCTCTAATACCCTTTTGGCGCTGCTGAAATTTAAATAAAATCACGGAAATATTTCATTGAAAAAAATAAGGTGTTTATTACATTTTAATACATTTCACTGACCTTTGTAATCCCGGGATTTCATCGTACGCCATTATGGGCTGCGTTGCTTTCTTCTTATGGTTGTTGCCGCTGTTGATTTTCCTTCCGAGCGTGGCTGCTAGGAGGCCGCTACCCGCATTGTTATTGTTCACTCTCGGCAATGTGCCTAGGGCGTTGTTCAACGCGTGGTTGTTGGGAACGCGCCTGTTTAAAGTTTGCGTGTTCCGCGCAATGGTCGAGTTGTTAGCGAGAGTATCGAATTGACTGTTGTTTAGGGTTCCCCCGTTTTCGTTGACACTGGACGCGCGAGCTGTAGTCGCCGTTTCAGACAGCGTTGGACTGCGTTCGCCTGTTAGATGATTTAAATAATGTAGTATATTTATAACAAATTTTAATTTTTTCCAATAAGGTAGGTGGTATTTCAGTGAATAATTTTGATGGGAAACATCGACGCTTAATAGCAAACACGTACAAGCTTGAGTAAACATTTTTATAATATGTACAGCAACTTATTAAATTTTTGAGCTCTTAGTTGTCTGATGATCACTCAGGGTAACCACGTAGCAAGAAAAGTTTATGTTCGATCTCAAGGCCCAACCTTTTGTTTATTTTTTGTTTCTTAACATATTCATTTGTTTTTATTCTTATATTAAAACAAAAAGGGAAGATACGGTGCATGAACATAATTAGCTTTATAATAGTCACAATTTGACATTCAAACTTCGCACATTGAACATTCGCTGCATGTGCACTCAATACAGTGCTACCTCGATATAGGAAATAGCACTTGCTATACTTTTTTGCGTGCACTATATGAGAACTACAGCAAATAATTGATTGTTAAATACACAAAGGCACAATTACCGATTTTAACTGTCGAAAAAACTAGACGAAAATTCTAGAAAGACTCACCATTATCTTTAGATAAATACTGGACGCTATGAATGTTGAAAGCGTGATTATTTGGACTGAAATCTAGCTGCAAATCTGCATCGTCTACCGCCATGTTGAGCACCTGCAAATATAGAATAATATGGTTATGTAAATAAAAAGAAATCTATACTTATAATAAATCTGTAGAGAGGTCAATTCTGTACATGAAATATATTTTTAAAATAACTATCAGGGGGTGATTAGTGATCGATACTGATGCCAAAAATGCAATCAGTAAAATTTTTGTCTGTCTGTCTGTCTGTCTGTCTGTGTGTATGTTCCTTATAGAAACAAGAACTACTCGACGGATTTTAACAAAACTTGGTACAATTATTCTTCATACTCCTGGGCAGGTTATAGTATACTTTTCATCACGCTACAATCAATAGGAGCAGAGTAGTGAAGGGAAATGCTGGGAAAACGGGAGAAGTTACTCCATTTTTTAAGCTTCCGTCGCGTGTGCAGCCTTAATGGTTAAAGTTACATAAAAATCATGTATGACGGAAATATTTTACATAAAATTGTCTAAAAATTACCTCGCAACAGCATATGTCTATCTTTTACTGTTGACTCACAATAACACGTGTAACTCCTGATAGCTTAGCAGTTCGGAGCATTCTGATTATATTTATTTACTCTTACGTTTATAATACTCTCACTCATCCCTAATTTAAAAAAGTTAACATTATTACCTATTCAATAAAAAAAGAATCATAGAAATCGGTATATAAACACCAAACTTATACACGAAATAAGCCATCGCGCCGTCGCACGTGAATACTGAATCATGCTATAAGGATTATTTTTGTGTAACGGTTGGAAACACTGATAATTTTAGAGGTTTTTAATGTAAGGTCGTAAATAAACACAGTCTTTTCCGCTTACATTGCAAACGCTGGCTGAACCCTACGAGATCGATCAAAATAATGTACTACAGTATTATATACCTTAAAAATGTCTACAAAAAAGTCCGCCATGGTATCTGTCTATCTCTTAGGGATAACCCACAATAACCATTTTATATCCTATACTTTTTACGAGAAATAATAGATTATTTACGAAGCGATTTTCAGCAATAAAACATTCTTCCTTATCCAATTAAGTACCTTAAATACATTGTGCATTTAATATAGACCAATTTGGCTATTTAACGCATGTAATTTAAATGAATATTTTCGAAGATATTACAGATTTAAAATGCAGGGACATAGCGGTTCCGACGCTACCGGGCGGGACGCCTGGTGGCGCGTGCCTATTGTAATTAGGTATTAGAAGAATGTCATTGTGTATAATACAAGCCTGAGAACAAAAACTATAGTCTACACTACAGCTCTACACCGAAGCGAAGCGCGGGCGGGCCACTAGTATACAATAAAATGGCAACCATCAAAAATTACTGTAAGTAAGTCTTTTTGAACTCGGTCTGAAAAGTCAAGGCAACGTTAGTAAGCTATCTCACAGTGTGCAAAATAAAGGGCTCACCTGTATTTAAAATGAGTAAGGCTAGCGAACTATTACAGCTGAAAATTTAGTTTCTCAAAAAATCATAAAAAATAAGTATTTTTTTAAAATATTTTTGATCTATACCATCTATATGATACCTATCTATTGTCACGTGATCGAAAATGGCTAGAATTAGCAGTCTAAAATGACTTTACTACAGTTACTTTATTACGTTTGACAAAGTTACTTTACGTTTGTGGTGAAAGTTGTGTGCTGTGTCTGTGAGACATTTCTTTGGCAATAGTGAGTAACATATTAAAATAACAAAAAAAAATGTTTATTTTCTTTAACTTAACTTATTATTATCAAATAACATTGTTGGTGCACTCCTATTAATTAAAGGGATACCTGTAGCTATATGTTATAATAGTTTTCATACACTTTGTCAATAACCCTATTTATCATTACTTTACTCAATAACGCAACATCTTCTGAACGTATTTGGATGAAAGTTGGTACAAATATACGAGTACTTTATGATCTGGATTAAAATATATGATACTTTTTATCCCGCAAAAATAAAAGGTTCCTGTGAAAATAAAAAAAATGGGTGCGTGTACTTATGTAGGCGCGTGAGAAGTTATCCTTCTTTGGCATCGTTTAAAATTAGTTTTTAATTGCATGCAAATAATTAATTACAATAAATTAATAAAAAGTCTGGAAAAGGACGAAGTCAATAAAGTTCAGTTTTAATTTGAAAAAATAAACAAATAATCAAAATATTCAATTAAAATCGCTACTGAATATAATTTATTAGAACATATGTGATTTGCACTTGTATGAAACTCAAACACGTATTCCGAATATACAAACTAGAAACATGTGGATAAATATTATAAATATGAATACCTATAACTGTTACTTTATTACAAAAAATAAAGATGTGGTTTTTGGTTCTACTACACCAATGGTCAAGAGATGGCGCTGTAGTCTCGTGAATCGCGCTTTGGTTCCGTTGTTCCAGATTAATAAATACTTTTGATAGGCCTTCACAATGCAGTCGTTAGCACCCACTAAATAGAGATTCTATTTCTATTTTGTTGGTAGATTTTCTTAATGTGCGGTAAACACAAAAGTAACGCATGAAGTTGGTCATACTTGGTTGGACCAACTTCATGCGTCTTAAAATTTCACTCTCATCATTTTTTCATAACGCGCCTAAAGAAGTATAACTTCAATAAAAAAAAATAAGTTAACGCTGTCAAAGTCCCAGGCGACTGCTAGTAAAATACCTGCGTCTCATATCTCGGCGCCGGCTCATCTTCGCTGGACTCGTAGCCCGAAGGCGGTCGCGGAGGCGGCATGCTCATACTAAGGGTGCCGTACTGTTGGATCGCTTGCTCTTTATGTTTCTTGTACCTGGGAAAAATAATACTCATTAATTCAAGCATTCAATCAAAAAATGTGAAAAAAAAAACTTTGTCACACTCACGAGAAAAAATACTCATCCATTCTTGCATTTCAAAAAAATATATTAGTTTTTACAATTTATTTGTTTTTGACATTTAATGTTTTTTTTTATTTTTTTTTAATATTCATTTCAACAATATAATTAATATTTGCATGCCATTTAAAATGGTTAAATAGGCTTAAGTACAATGTTTTGGATAACGAACCTATCTAATGTAAACTAATGTACCCTAATATTTAATTATTTACTTTAATAATTTCATTTAATAAAAAAAACTATTCCGTTGACCGTTGACTACCTATTGTAAAGTCTAAGAACTTCGCATTCACATACAGAATAGACTGAGATGTCTGTGGGACTGAGCAATACCGGCATAAAGTTGATCACTCTCTAGAAAGAGTGAAAGCGATGTGTGAAAGAGGTGAAACTATCGAGGGGAGAGTTGTTCGGGTTTGAATTTATCTTACGGTTGGCTAAGGAATTCTTAGTCTATTCTCTGTATATGGGTCATCGTAACTCGCTTGCCTTGCTCCCAATAAATAGTTTTGTTTTTATGCAAAGGGGGTGGCAAATAAGCCTTTGGCCCGCCTGATGGTGTGTAGCCACCATAACACTAAACTATCAGTCCTCCATTGCCTACCCTGAGTCCATCCGTTACTCCTTACCTGGTGGTGCCCTGAAATCTTACTCACTGACAGAAACAACAGCAATAAAGGGTAGAGATTTCACTTATGTGACGTCGAGGTTACTTTTAAAACAAATAGCTTCTTTTAATGCGATCTTATTTTATGTTAAAATGGTGGGAAACAAGCATATGGCCCGCCTGATGATAAGCGGCCAACATAGCCTATAGACGCTTGCGATATCACTTTGCTCCGTTGTCTAGCCTGACCCCGACCGCGTGAAGCCCTGTAACCATAGTCACCAACAGTAACGACACTACCAAAAGGTAGTGTTATTTCACTGTGGTCTTATGTAAGGTCGAGGTTACTTCCCAGACGGGCGCCCTAATTCAAGCGGAATATCTAATATGCCTCCTCTTAAATATTTACAAATACGGTAGTGTGTGTGACGTCACTTGTTTCAGGAGGCACATATGTAGATAGTTGCAGCTGTCGCAGCCACTAGCACTAGCGCCGTGAGCGCTATTAAAGCAGCCGGCAGCGCTTTACAGCGGTGCAGCGGCTGCATGCGTCTGTGTTACTGTGTGTGTGACGTCACCTGTTCCAGGAGGCACATATGTAGATAGTTGCAGCTGTAGCGGCTACTAGCATTAGTGCCGGGAGCGCTATTAAAGCGGCCGGCAGCGCTTTACAGCGGTGCAGCGGCTGCATATGCATGCGTCTGTGTTACTGTGTATGTGACGTCACCTGTTCCAGGAGGCACATATCGCACCTCCGGTGCGACACTGTCACTTATGCAAAAAAACATTTTTTTAGGAGAAGCGTTTAAAACTTAACATCCCAAAAGATACAATATTTAAAGTTTTTTTTTAATTTTTTTTAGATGAATAGCTAAGCTGTTCAAGCTTTTCATCACGTAAAAATCTTGAAATATTGTATGTTTTGGGATGTTAAAGTTTTAAACGCTCATCCTGAATAAAAATTTTTTTTTTTGCATAAGTGACAGTGTCGCACCGGAGGTGCGATATGTAGATAGTTGCAGCTGTCGCAGCCACTAGCACTAGCGCCGCGAGCGCTATTAAAGCAGCCGGCAGCGTTTAACAGCGGTGCAGCGGCTGCATGCGTCTATGTTACTTTGTGTGTGACGTCACCTGTTCCAGGAGGCGCATATGTAGATAGTTGCAGCTGTAGCAGCCACCAGTACTAGCGCTGCAAGCGCTATTAAAGCGGCCGGCAGCGCTGTAGCTAGCGGTGCAGCGGCTACATGAGTCGTTCGTCGGGTTTGTTCTGGTGCTATCAGAGGGGCTCGAACTTGGCTCACTGGTGCTTGGAGACTTGCTGATACTGCCTTGTGGACACCGCCGTCTACCGCCCTGAATTGGAAAAGGAGTCATGGATAAATTTTGGAATTTGAAAGCTTTGAAATTGTAACAGTTTAGTTTGAATATACGTGTTGAATTGGTTATGCATGGAAATATATCAAACAATTTAATTAATATCGGATTGTAAAATCAACAATCGATGTATATAGTGAGCAAAGGCAACTTTAAAAGCATTGGTATGCTTCTCAATCTCTAGCTTAATAGAGACTATCCCTGAAGTGCGTTTAATGTATAAAATCTGTAATAATTTCTTAATTAAACCTCTTAAACGAACAGAAATAAATGAAAGATAGGTCAATATCTTCAGATTATTATTAAACACTGAAAAGCTAACTAACAGAATCATTATTTGAAGAGATTTAAAAACCAAACTTACTTCTTCACAGACTGCGAGTCTCTCGTCAATATCTTGCCTGTTGCCGGGTCTACTAGATACAGCCATATATCGGTGCCTTTACTATCGCTCTCTAGCGTTCCATTAACGCCCAGATAATGTCTATCCGTTAGCTTTTCTAGACCAGCGACAAGGCCACTCTCCTTCTCTATGGCGGTGAGAACGCTTCTAGCTCTACGACCCATAGCGTCAGTGTTTAAGTTGGATACTTCCAATACTAGTTGGTTTTCTTTCTGAAGGAGATTGATCTGGAAAATATTAAAGTTGTAGTTTGTTTCTTAGGTGTTCACGCACATCACTCATTAAATAAAACTAGTTTTAACGGGTTAATGCACGAAACTTTATTTATTTATTGACGTTTCGCAGCCTTTTCAGGTCTTTCTGACGAAGCAGACCTGAAAGGCTGCTGTATAGCATGTAAAGTTATAGCAGTAGATTATTAACAATATATCTTACGAATTCAGGTTTAATTTAGGTTATGAGTGATGTGTTATTTTTGAATAAGCATAATATAAAGTTCTCCTTTTTTTAGGTTTTTTTTTACTAAACTCAGTCCTATAGTAATAGGTGAAAATAAGGAATTATTCAATAAGTTTCATTATACTGCTTTTTTATAACTTATTCAAGGCAGAGAATTTCAGATCGAATTGGAGCGACCAGTCTTTGTAATATTTCGCCTGTAATAAATTCATCTCTATTTTTCACTATTAAGGTTTCACCAAGACGAAATACATGACGCGTCGCGTCGGTCGATTATGCATCATTATGCTTATTATTAAATAAGCAGTATAACGAAACTCTTTTTAATAGTCCCTCTTTACACCTACCACACCTACCACTATAGACTACGGCAATATCTTGAAGAATAAAGTCTGAAATACATACCACTACAGATGCTCTAGCGATGTTGTAATCTTGTGGTGAATTGGGATTGTCTCTCGCTGTAACACTGAATTTGAACGGTAACAGGTCTTGAGGTAAATGGTCGAACGTTTTAATGTTCCTTATGATTCCCGTGTCGCCGTCCAAACTAAAGTATTCCTCTACGACTTTAGGCCAGGAGTGCTTCTGGTATTCTATTTTACCGTAAGCGCCACTGTCTTTGTCTTTTGCCTGTGGAAGATGGCATCATGCTTATCAAATTGAGAACGGAAATCCAGCTCGAAGGACCACAAATATGATAAACAAATACACAAAATAATACAGTGAAGAAAGCAGTGTTTTTTTTTAAATCCTGTACTCAATGAAATGAATTAATAGATTACTATTTACGTACATAATGTCAGTGTGTGTTCAAATAAGTTTTAAAAACTATTCCAGTAAATATTTATATGAAATATATTGGTTGCTCTAAGGTCTCAGATAAAGTGTATAAACGAATGTAGAGCTCAAGATGCATACAATGTGATACTTTCAAAGTTTGTCTAATTTCATTGGTACTTATAATTTACAATTTCTTCACTTTAGAATTTCATTTAAAACAAATGAAAAATGTATAATAAATTCCGTTCCAATCTTTACATCAAAGTTTGGATATTGAAAGAAATACTCCAATACACTTTAAAACAATATTATTTAGATATTATAATGTCATTTGTTAAAAATAAAAATTAACCATTATCATCTTACCTTAACTTGTAATACATTTGTATCCAAAAGCATGTCTCTCGTAACGATCGCAAAGTACTTCCCCATAGCGCCGGCTATAGTAGACTGTTCTCTGAACATAAATATAGGTGCGTTATCATTCACATCGGTCACGTGAACTTTTATAAGTGCTTTACTACTGTCTGGATTAATCAAGCCTTTTATAGATTCTAGTTGGACTTCTAATGAGTATTCGCTGATCGCTTCGTAGTCCAAGGAGCTGGTATTCAAGTATATTGCGCAGTCTCTTTCCTCTGTTAGTTTAACGTAGAAAACGCCTGCGAAAATTCATAATGAAATTGAAAAAAAAAACTGTTAAAAATGATGAAAGAATACAGATCAATAATTTAAACAGGAACTTTCTGAGGAAAAGGATAATCTAGATTATAGAGCAGGGATGACAATAATGCATGATTTTATTTGTGATGAATTTGAGCCCCTGAAAGCTATAGGTTCAAGTCTTCTTGAATCTTTTGTTTTTTTAGGAAATACAACCAGAAAGAAATAAGATTTGGTTTAAATGTAACGCTCTTCTTAAAATAAACGTAAGAGTATATATCATTTTTGGACCAGGTTTTTATCAATAGCCAATGGTTTGTAATAAGGTTAATAGAGTTCGGTGAAGAAAGAGCATATTAGTCTGGTAAAATTTTCGTATTCTTAAGTCATATTGATATAAATAATTTTTAATGAAGGAATAGCAGGCAGATTAAAATGTGGTTATTTTGTTTCTAAATGATAAAACGATAGTTAATATTGTTAATTGAAACAAAGAACACGTTTGTACAATAAAGTTGTGTTTATAATCACCTTTTTGAGAAGTTTCTGTGAGTAAACACTTCAGCGGTATATCTGGGGAATGTTCCCTCTTATTCAATAATGGTAGTACCCGTACTAATGTTCCATTTGGGGAGTTTTCCGCTACGTGCTCCGTGTATACGGTGTCAGCGAATCCAAGACCCACCTGAAAATAAAAAGACAAATCGGATTGTGTAATGATAATAGGTAGACAGAAAAGACACCGTATATTGTTAATTAAAGTATAGCATTAGTTATGTCAACATTGTCATAACGCAACATTTTTAGACATGACAACATCTGGAAGTTAAGTACGCCAGTTTCTGTATAATTAACTTTATATTTTAACATCCTTTTTTAAACAAGCTTTTCTAATCAAATAGAAATCTCATTCATAACTAATGGAAAGAACCTATTTTTTCCAATCTAATGGGGTTGCTTATGGATAAAATATCTAGAACCTATAAAGACGAATCAAACGAGCCCAGATTCGATGCGGTTACGTCGTTTTAAACGGACATCCTATGGTCACCTTCCAACTTAATCTTTAGGTCCTGAATACCATTTAAAGACAGAGTACTCTTCAAGACGATACAAAACACGATGTGGTTATGTTGTTTTATAACGGAGTTCCTATGGCCAAATTCCAGTTTCAACATTAGATCGCGTTTCTTTCTTTCTTTCTATTAGATCGAGCTGTCCATGTCATCAAAATGTTGCATTGTTGCGTGATATACGTATGCGTGCAAAAGTTTAAGTCATCGGAAACCGGGAATTGTGTCAAGTCCAACTTGCAAGAGATAACACAGGAGGGTTTTTAAAAACAAAACCTTTTATAAACCTTTTAAATGGAACTTACATCTGGTGGTACGGTTGCTGAATGGCTGACGTAGATAGTGAGACTGGTCACGGCGGACATAACCGGGTCTCCTTGGTCGTAAGCTTGGACGTCAACCTGAATATCATAACAAAATTTATACATATAATAAAATGGTAGGAAAGTCAAAACTGTACATTGAATATTTTTTTAAAAGAATACTTGGGGTGTGATCTACAATCGATACTGAAGCCAAAAATATAGTTTTTAGATTTTTTGTCTGTTTATCTGTTTGTCTGTCCGGGGTAAACTCAAAAAGTACTGCATGGATTTACTTCAAATTTGGCACGAATATTATTAAGAAGTCGGGTCAACATATAGGCTACATATAATCACGTTATCACCTACGGGGAACGAGCAGTGAACCTTTATTTCTAACTAACTCAAACTAACTAACTAACTAAACATGAGGCGTCGGAGGTTCAGACAAGCTCTCCGATGTACTGGTACCCAAGGTAATCCCATTTTCTACAGCAATGGTGTTGAGAACTTCTCTAAACGGTCAAGTGTCCGTTTTTTTAAATATATAACGGTCCGGTCTTATAAAACTAAATTCAGTAACGGTATTAATATAAAATTAAGTGTTGAATTTAATGGTTGCCAATAAACAAAATCTACTTTAAATGAAATATGTACTTACGAAAGTTTTGCCTTCGCGTATCACCTTAAAATCTTATCTTACTTACTTTTACTAAAATAATTACTTCTTCCTAATAAAATATTTATAAATGCGAAAATTTGTATGTTTGAATTTTTTTATTACGCATATAGCGTTATGACCTGCGGGTCTACTCTCTTTCTCCGAAACGAACTTTCGATAACGAAGTTCAAACGAAATTTAATTACGTCAATTTAAGGGTTATACTTAATTTGAACGATAAACTATCAAATTGAAGCTTTCTTTTAGTAGTCTTAGAAAAACTACACCTCAGTCTATATAACATGAACAGAACCAGAAACATGGTAAAAAAAGTGTGAAGTTTCGATCGAAATTTCGCATTTCGTTGAATTAGAGTAGGCCTCCTGTATCGAGACGCAAAATACTAAAATAAAATAATAAAATGCAATACTAACCGTATACTCGCTATCGGTCTCCTTTCTCAAATCGTCTCTGACTCTCAAAGCACCCGTATCCGGTTCCACGTGGAAGTATTTGGAAGCTTTCCCTCTTCCCACAAGTTTGTATCGCACCCTATTATTGGGCGCCGTCGAATCAGCATCAACAGCTATAACGGTCTGAACCAGGCTGCCTATCGACGAGGAGTCCTCTATCGTGATTGGTCGGACTACCGACGTGAATATAGGCGCATTGTCATTCTTGTCCTGTTGGTGATTACGATATATTTTATTGTGTACAAGAATTTCACAATTCATTAATTGATTTTTTATACTGATATAGTTACATTTCTAAAGGAATCTAAAACTGACTCTGATCAATGCAAAACCTATTTTAACAGTCATCTTTGAATGTTCTAATATTGAGCTGTTTTGTTATTTTTATCATAATCATGTCACAAAATAAATCATTGGCGGAAAGTGAGTAAAATTTGAGTTGTTTTGTTATTATTTTCAAAATCGTGTCACGAAGGAATGTGAGTAAAACTGTTCTAAATTATCTTGTATTAAATTCAAGCAATTATTCACATATAATTTTCTTTATACTTACGTCAACCAGTACTTCGACCATAGTTGTAGATTTAGGTGAGTCGCTGTTATTCTCTTCGGTTCCTATTACGATTTCGTGGCGGGCCATAGTTTCCCGGTCTAAAGGTTTCAGAGTCCTTATAAGACCAGTCTTTCGGTCTATGGAGAACAATTCGGTGTCCCCCATCATTATCGTGTAAGTAATCTCTGGAGTGGTGTCTGGATCGTCCGCCTTAAAAGACAATAACGAAAAGTGTTACATAAAAATTAAATAGGTGTAATATAGAAGTATTAGTCTCATAATACTCCAGCAACTCTTAAATTTATTGGTAAAAAAAAAATATCTTGGCTCGATAAACTCAATAAGCTATTTGGCAATATGTAAAATGAAGTTCAATTTATTTACATCTGTACTGTATCTAACATGAATATTGACAGAGATTATACTATTGTGAGAGAGAAAAATAATTGAGATTTTTTCTAAATAATCATGTATAGAAAAGTAGTTTTAGATCTATTGTCAGGTGTTAAAAAAGACTACTATTGGCTGAGCCTAAAGTTTCGTCACTAGGAACGCATAATAAAATAAATAAAGTGAAAGCCCTTATTCTTCTATGATAATCACAAGTGCAGGAATTAGCCACTGGCTGGAAAAGGTGCAAATATCGCTACTACAAATGGTCGCCCAACTAGCTCTAAAACGATTATCTAATCATAGACTTTAAAGTTTGGATATTACGAGATTCAAGATTGAGAGACATACTATTTAACATACAATCAGGTAAAACTACTTCCAGGTCCCAAGAGGTGATACTTGATTTTATTTTTGTAGAAAAAGTCTCTTATAATAGTTTTTTTCTGGCGCTTTGCCGGTCGCAGCCGCGGCACGCTCGCTTTGCTCGCTCGGCTCGCGCGTTATGGTCACAACACTAACCTAACCTACTGAGAAGTATTACCTCTAAGGCCCTCCAGGGCCACTGTACTTCCAAGTACAGTTTAGCTCAAAATCAGATAATATTGTTTACTTACGTGGACCTTAACTATAGGGTAGTTAGGTGCATTTTCGGGTATATGCACTGAGTACAGAGATTCCTTAAATATCGGCACTTCGTCAGGCACGTCTTGTACTTGCACGGTGACTGACGCGGTTCCGAAACGTTTATCTATCGCTCCGTCTGTGGCTGTTACTACGAATTCATACGCCTGAAATAATAATACCAAGTGAAATATTATTTATTTACTAGCTGTCCCAGCGAACTTCGTACCACCACAAAAAATAGGGGTTGGTGGTGGAAAGGTAAAAATTTAGGGTTGTATGTATATTTGTATGATGTATAATAAAAAAGGGGTGAAAAATGGATGTTGTCCGATTCCCAGGCCTACCCTACTGAATATGCATATAAAGTTTCACGAAAATCGGTCGAGCCGTTTCGGAGTAGTTCATTTACACACACCGTGACACGACAATTTTATATATTAGATTTAACAAACTATTGACCAATACAATATAGACATAGGCTACCAATACAATACTTATACAATATATTACTTTTTATTTTCTAATATCATGTTTTGTCTACGTTTTCGTGTCAAGTGTCTGAATTAATTAACATTATTTTGAAAGGGCGAATAACGTATTTTTGTAGTCGATTCGTCTTCAAAACTTACCTTTGTCTGTTCGTAATCCAACTTAGTGTTAGTGCTAATTAACCCCGTAGCGTTGTCTATGCTGAATGGTAAATGTGTTGGCAAAGAATAGCTGACTAGTGCGTTGATGCCTTCGTCGACATCTGTGGCGTGAACGTAGCCAACAAACTCGCCTGAATCTCCTTTAAAATTAAAAAAAAAATAGAGGAAAAGCACAAATCAATACCCAAAGCAAGAACAAATAGCGAGAAAGTATTCGCATCGCCATGTCAGTTTATATGGAAAAATCTAGTTTGTTCTTACGTCTGGTAGGGGCACTGCTTAGTTTCCATAGGAACAATAACGTTGGCAATACTAATATGGGGAACCAGCGCGAACAACTAGCGAGAAATTATTCGTAACGCCATGTCAAAGTTTCTATGAAAAAGTCCAGTTTCTATTGCATCTTAAATATGAAAAGAAGAAACTGACTGACTGGCTGACTTATCAACACACAGCCCAAACTGCTGGGGCTAGAGACTCCAAATATGGCACGTAGTACTCTTATTAGGAGGGGTGCACTTAGGATTTTTAAAAATTCAATAGGGGATGAAAATTTTCCTAAACTACCCCCTAAAAGAAGCTGGTACTCGAAACTAAGTATTTTTACTTAAGAACAAAAAATTACGTGTATCCGGGTGTTTCGAAAAGGACCCCTAAGAGGGTAAAAAAGGGGTTGAAAGTTTAAAAACTTGACTCAAATCAAAACCGTAAACAGACGAAAGAACAGATGAAAAATCTGATGTCTGAGTAAAAAATACACTACTCAAATCACTAATTCCCCGTGTACGGCGGTGCGGACAAAAGCTAGTTAAACAGGATAATAATACATTAGATACCTTCTTTAACGTGGAATTCGTAGGATTCCTCGTCGAACTTAGGGTTATTGTCGTTGATGTCAGTGACCTTGATATTGACGGTGGCTGTGCTTGCTAATTTTCCAGGATCTTCTGCTTTTACCATCTGTAAATAAATGCATTAAAGTACAATTATTACCATCTGTGCGTGCGTAGTGGGAATTAACATTGAAATGCTTGTTTATGAAACAGATGTCGCCACTGTTTTAGGAAACTTTTTATAAAATTTAATTATTGAGATTTCTTACATATTAGTTATTGATCTTATGCCGGCACTTCACTTGGCTATTCGTGTATGCTATTTGTAAACTTGACATCAGTCTGTCCTGCCATTCCTTAATCATAATCATAATCAATCAGGTATGAGACAATATGAGTGGGCAAATATGAGTAGCAAAGTTAAGTGTCGGAAATACTTTAAGCTTTTTATTGATAAATTTTCCACAGAAATAAAGTACTACTAAGCGCTTGCGATTAAATTTCTTACGTCTGTTTGTGTCGTAACATTAGGGACGCTTTTTTAACATCCATAAGGTCGATTTTACTTTGTTCTCTCCAAATCTTACCAATTGATATCTCGTGAGGACTTCTCTATCGAGACTCCGGATCACAGTGATGATTCCCGTAGTAGAACCGATGCCGAATTGGCGGAGATCATTTCCAGACACAATGGAATATGTCACGGGTTCATTCTCAGGATCTTTGGCCTGAAATAGAGAATTAGTGTATAAAAGTAAGTAATTCAATGCTAATGGGTTGAATGACATAGAAAGTCATAAAAAAAGGAAGTTAAATTCCATTTAGGAATAACTAGTAATGAGGATGTTTGGGAAAATTCACGTCACTAGTTGGCGCCACTGTGTCGTGAAGTATTTTGTATGATGTTTTTGGTGCTAATTAATCGAACGAGCATTTAAATTAAGCCATGACGACATTGACGATTTGACGGATGAGTAGCCGCAGTGCTGCCACTTGGCGCCCTTCATTCCAAAAGCGAGGACCATATCATGTACAATGAAACTTTGTTTTTTCGTTTTGTGAGTTTAGTGAGTTACTTATTGTTGCAATTAAAGTCATACTTTTAATTACTATTTTATTAGTTAGTGTCGAATTTCATTTTTTGCTATACCTTTCAAATATTTGTAAGTGTTAATGTGACATAACTATCTCCTTCAGAACTATGAAAATAATGATTGCGGAAAGCGAATCATCATCATCAGCCTATTAATATCCCCCACTGCTGGGGCACAGGCCTTCGCTAAGGATTAAAAAGGAGATTTGGCCCACCATATGGGCCCCGTGCGGATTGGTGGGTACTCACGACTGAAGATCCAGCCGGGACCAAAGGCTTAACGTGCCTTCCAAAGCACAGAGGATCTCGAAATACTAAATTTCTGGTCAACCAATGACCGGCCACTGCAAAAGTGGTTTAACTTCAACTATCGCAGCAGGAAGCAGGAAAGCGAATAGTAACACAAAAATTGTCTTCAGACCTTTACATTACGTTATATTACATTATCTTGTAAGTACCGTGACAGTAGTGAGAGTAGAGTTGATCGCAGCGCCCTCTGACACGAGCATGAAGTAATCCCTAGATGATTACTGAGATCTTTATGTGAATGACATTATATTGTCACGGACAATCTAGAAACAGATTTACCTAGATACTCGCCTTATGTCTTTCGGGTACTATGATACCCAAATACAACGACCTAATGTTGCGATCCACTCGCATTCAATGCATGAGCCTTAGCAATGCGGCGTCAAGACGAAAGTGCAATGACAGCTGCCAACTTGTTTACAACTCATGCTTGTGACCTACTTATAATTATTGGTCGGTGCTAGGGAACACTCAAGTGAACTGATTTGTTTTGAATGCGTCGATTTAGTGTTGGCTCCTCACAGTGACAGTTTACTTTGAAGGCGATAGTTAAGTTTCAATAGAGATTTCGGAACGATTACAAAGGCGATAAAAGTGTATGGTTAAATTATAAATACATTATATTTTAATGTAAGTACCGTGACTGTAGTGACGGTGGAGTTAATCGCAGCGCCCTCTGACACGGGCGCGAAGTAATCCCTTGAAGAGAACTGTGGCGGCCTCGTATTGGGTCCGGGGGCGACGGATAACTCCACGATTCCTTGAGAACTGAGACCTTTGGCGTCTGTCGCTCGAACGGTAACGCTGTACTGTTCGCCTGCTTGCAATCGCCCGGTACTCGCTAAAATGGAAAGTTAAAATCACAATGAATTCCTAAACAAATAAAATCTTTTTATTTATACAGAACAGAGCACGTTTTTGAATGTGGTAATTTTTATAATGATTTTTTCAAACACGATATGAAATTAAGGCTACTTGTTTAATTTAATTTGTTTGCTCGGATTTACAAAAGAACTCATACTTATTATGCCGGAGTCAGTAAAGGCGAGTCAAATATACAGAAACATATTATTACATTGAAAAGGTATATCCTTTACTTACAGTAAAGACATAAAATCATTTTAAGATGACAATGATTATTTTAAATAAGTTGCCCTTCGACCAAAAAGAATCAATGTTTTACAAAATTTTCAAACATACTATCTATTTTATCTCATCTGTTTTCAAGAAAAAATCTATTCGTGTTATGCAATTTATTCTATTGTAATCACACAATATTGTTCAAGCAATGTTATTGCGTGGACAAGTCGTTTGCGACTTCAAACACTATGCTATGGTGCAGTAAAACAACACATCTCACTCAAAATGTGCTGGTAAATTGTGTAACTAATCAAATGAAGTACTTTTACAAACAATACTACGGTGTACTAAAATCTAACGACTTACTAAATTTCTTCACACATATTCAGAACCAACTCGACTCTTAGCAGACGAGATGCCATCTTGATTGCCACACTCTTAAGAATAAGAAAGTATGTATAATATCAATCCAGCATTTTTTTTTGTCTAACTGTGTTTGTAACTACTAAGACAGTTGCGACATAACATAACACGTCACATGAAACACAAAGCAAATTATGCTCTAAGGTGAAAGCAATAGGTGCGACACTCACATATTACGCCAGTGTTAGGATCTATCGTGAATTTGTTGCCACCATTGTTAGACACGTGGTAGATGTTGTACGTTATACGTGCGTTCTCACCCTCGTCGATGTCCGTGGCCTCCACCTGTGAAGAATAAATTTAATGTAAATAAAACATTCAGTAATAAAGTACCTATAATACTTTTTGTGACCACCCAGCCTGTAAAGAATCAGAATCGCCAAGAATGATGTAAAAAATTATGATTTTTTTTTTGTTAAGAATTTAACTGTTAGATTTATAAATCCAAAGCTGACTAGGAAGAATAGCAGATTAGAATTTTTCATAGTAAAATTTTCTTTACAGTTTAAAAATTCATTAAACCGCGCCACATATCCATTTTAATAATTTATTGGTGTGCGCGTTCGGCCTGTGATCGTGGAAGTTAAGCAACTTTCGCAATGGTCGGTTATTGGATGGGTGACCAAAAACTTATTATCTCGAGCTCCTCCGTGCAACTGCAGTCGTTAGCACCTACCAATACACCCTGGGTCTGTGTGGTGGGTCTCGGCCTGATCTCCCTATTCCATCTATATGCAAAGCCTGTGCTCTAGCAGTGGTGGCATTAGTAGACTGGTGAAGATGTGCGTAAAAATATAAGAAATATTACTTTAAGTATTTTTCTTTATACAAGAAAAAGGCTGAACGCGCAAGCCAAATTCGTTATCGAAATCCTCAAATAAAGTGGGCGACCGCGACTTCGTATGGGTGGAAAATTTGGTTCAAAGTTCTGTATAAAAAACCAAATTTTCGCCTCCCTCTTGAAGAATGATTTCTGGGATAAAAATTATCCTATCTCCTTCCCCGGGACTCAAACTATCCATCCATCACCAAAGATCTAAATCGACGACATTTATGTAGATTTTGGTGTCGTACCTTGTTTTAAAACTAATTCTTATTACACTCTAACATTTTATAGAGTGACTTGATGATCAGCGAACTGCTTACATAGAATGGAATATAATGTATATTATATATTTATCACTAATGGGTGCCCGCGACTTTTAGTTTCATTTGTTTTCCATAGAAACTCCCACTTCTCTTTTCACCCATTAAACGATGATATCTGGGAAAATAAGTTTTTATCCCAGAAATTTCATAACGTTTTTCAAGACTATCTCTATACAACAATTAGGTGGATTTACATATTAGGTAACAGACAGACAAAGTTTTGTATTTTGAATATTTGTATGGAAGTATGGATTATTTTTACCTTATAGACGGAAGTGGGTTCTAAACTGGCGGGCACTGTGATTGGTTGAGTTTTTGGTATGACTGGCGCGTTATCGTTTTGGTCCAGCAGTTGAACGGCTAAGGAGAACGGCGCAGACGCAGCGCCGCCATTCGCTTCCCTTGCTACCACCTGTGGGAGATAAAAATGTACTGTTTGCATATATTTTTTTATCTCCATGTATACAACATATTGGTGTTATTGGTTTGTGATATCTAGAAATGATTACAATAAAAAAATACAAGTTGTCTGCGTGAAGTTGTGAACATTAAATTAAATTAATACATTAAATTGTATGTTGACATGATTTTTTTTACTGTCTTTCAGTTCAGAATGATAAACGTGGTTGTAAAATGCTTACATGTCATAATATTTCCTCATTAATACTAAGAAACTAAAATAATAATTTCAAAATAGTTATTTTAAACTCACAATATAAGTATAAATATTCTCAATTACTTATTTACTCTTAGCTTCAGGAAACGAACATCTATTTCTATGTTTAAAATATTAGTTAAGGGTAAACGCCAAATTAGAGTTCATAAATTGTTATAAAATTTAGCTTTCTTACCTGGAACCTGAATTTGCCAAGATTCGGTTGGTCCCGATCAAGATTTTCATCGCTAACGACCAGGTAACCGTCTTTATCGATGTCAAAGAAGTTTGTTGTCAGCTCGAATGAATAGTTCGGTACAGGATCGCCTGGACCCTACAAAAATCATCATGAATAGTAAAATCGATGAACTAGAGTTTAATAACAATTATGTACTTTCTTTAAGACTGATAAGGAATAGTGTTCTTTCTTTCATTAGATTTATTTTAGAAGTGAAGAATACTTAGGCACTATATCACCTATTACATATTAAAATAAGCGAATTCCAAACTATGTATAAAAATAAAAAATATTGAACTTCACAAAAGAAAGCAACAATACTTCTATTCATGTCATAGTTGTATTGAAAATATTAAATACTGCTTTTTAAATGACAGATTGCTTTTACAGAAAGCCATGTCTCCATAATTGTACTTTTTGAGAAGTAAACATTTTCACACCATTTCAAAGTTAGGGGTATACCTATGAAGGCAATCCTTCATGAGAAAAAAGATGATAACAACATTGCACACACAAATGGTATGAAAATAACTACACTATATTATAAAGCCGAAAGTTGGTGAGTGCGTGAGTGTGTATGTTTGTTACTTCTACACGTCTAAACGGCTGGCGCGATTTTAATAAATTTTGGTATGGAATTAGCTGACACCCTGGATTAACACATAGGTTATGTTGTACTGCGGAAAAATATCCCTAATAAACCGAGGGTAACACCGCGGAGCACAACTAGTACTATATAAATAATACTATGCAAATCTGTGTTGTCACAGTAGAAAGATATTAATTTTTGTCAATAATTACAAAAAGGAAATACAATATTACTTTAATATTATATAATGATTTAAAAGTTCTCACCAAGTCTGCGTCGGTCACGCTCAGTCTGATAGGCACGCCTTTCGAGTCCAATACCTTAGTGCCTTTAGGGGAATTCTCTTCCACTTGCCCTTCGTCCGATGAAGCCACCACTTCTGGGGGATTAGCATCCACCGGCCTCACTGTTATCGTCAGCTTCGCGGTGGTGAATCTCTTCGCTTCAGTCGCTTCCTCTGCCTGGAAATTAAAAAAAAAACATATTTCTAAAATACTGGACGGCAAATTAGTCTGAACTTGTTATCAAGTAGTAATATGATTACGAAAGTAATATAGTTGAGTACGTAACAAAATAAAACGTTAATATTATATTTTAAAAACTATTTACGGACATTCACTATCTTACTACAGGTATTAATCCGCGCTACAGAAAGATTAGCAACTTATGCATATATATTTTCTTCCATTACTTTCAGTTTAGCGCTGGAATAGATTTTTACAGTGCATTTTCATTAGTCTATATGATCGATTTTGAAAAAATTGCTGGATCTACGATGGTGAAACGATTTTAAAAACTCTTTTACGAATAGAAAGCCACGTTATTTGTAAGTGTCATGGGCTATACATCCCGAAAATGAAAATATTTTACCGCCGACGAAGTTGCGAGCGACCGCTAGTGTCTAAATAACTTACCTTTATAACAAGCTGGAATTTCTTCGCTATACTAGTGTCCACAGGCTGCAGTTGCCTCACAGCGCCAGTGCTGGAGTCTATGGTAAAATACTTGTCCCACATATCGGGCTCTCCGCTTTCGATGCTGTACCGGATCTTGGCATCCAAAGTGTCCATGTCGACCGCTTGTATCTTCTCGGGTTCGATGCTCAGAATACCGGCTAGGACGCCGCTGTTTACCTGTTTTGAGGTAATGATTGCATGCGATTACCGATAAGCAAAGAACAATGTATAAAAACATTAATTTATTTCAATAATTTATTTACTCTCAAAAACAATTTTGAAACATCAATGAAAAAGATGATAATAACATAACAATTCATAATCTAATAATGTAATTTTAATATGTAACACAAGTAAAGGTCTATAAATATAAGGGTATTTTGAAATTTTAAAATAAAATAAGCACATTAATTTTACAAAATAAATTATGTTTTATGCGAAAAACAGAAAATTTAATGAATGGATCGAATTGCAACATTTTAGTATCCATAAAACCATATTCGCCTTTCAAATGAAAACGGTTTGGAACACATCATCGGTTGGATGGTTTCAAAATCTTTGACTCTGACATAGCTAGATTTTTTTTGTGTTCTATATATTGAGAAAATGGGTAACTTACATAAGTAGAATATTCAGGGTTGAAGCAAGCACCCTCGTGTAGCGTGCATCCCTTGTAAATAAACGATGGGTCCTGGTCGTCATCGTCTTGTACGTTTACCGTCAATGTCGCTGTGCTGGACAGCCGTCTTTTCGTATCGCGCGCACGGTCCTATCACCAACAATAAATAAATGTTTTCACTTTAACCTTCTTTATCCCATTATCCAAACTAATATTATAAATGCGAATGCTGTTAACGTTTCAACCGCTGAATCGTTGAGTTGAAAGTTGATAAAAAGATAGTTTGAATCTCGGGAAAAGACAAAGGATAGTTTTTAAACTAGAAATCATTCTTTAAGGGGGTGAAAATAGAGGTGGAAGTTTGTATGAGCAACCAATTTTTGGTACCCACCTGTCCATTATATAGGTTAGTGCCCCAGTGGCGCTCAGATTCGAGCGAAACTACCGCTTAAGCCGGTAAGGCAAAGGGGGCATAGAAATTACTTTATATTGGTTTATGAGAAATAACTCTTGATAAGTAATTTCCTTAGCAGATTATATTAAGAGAACGGTCAATCAAGCAATTCAACGCAGATTCGTGGGCGTAAATGACTCGTATATGCCGTCGTATCTAGCGGTTTTACGAAAGCCGGAGAATTAAGCTTTCGGTAATAATGATGCTCGATCAAACTTAAGTTAGTGATATTAAGATACTTCTATTATTGAATGAATTCTGAAGGCGTAATTACACTTTGTCGTTAGCCCGAATTCGTGTGCACGAGACATTACTCGTATTCGAGCACCCTATACAATAATAACATTGCTTTACTCACGTTCGTTCGGTTACTGGAATATGGGCAAACTACCCTGCGCCTGCGTTTTGGTTGGAACGAACCTCAGATTCGGGGTCCCCGGCAAATTTAGGGGAAAGTATTTTTGGGGAATATTTTGAGGGAAAATATTTTGACTACTACTTGAAAGGAAGACGGCGAGCGTCGGGTAACCAAAACGAAATCTGTTCTAATACGGGCGAACTTGACTCCATTTATTTACACTTAGTCGTTTGTCCGAATTCCATAGGCAATCGTTCGACCAAGCGTAATTGAGCCTTCACACGAAAGTACCTATCTAAAACTCATTAGTATCAAGCAAGTATTAACTTTTCCTTTACCGATGTTGATAAGAATTCCCAATGGAAACCCTAACAATAGGTCCATAATGTGTTTAAAGGTCACTACAACGATACAAAATGTCTCAGGCATTATCAAGACTGTAGATGTACACCAATTATATTGTTTTTCAGACTCGGGATTTTCTTTGTTCACATTTAAACAAGATTCTCAAGAATACAATGAGATGTTAGAAATAGTTGCATTTAAGATTTATGTGTTGGATTTCATGTGATAAAGAAATACGGAATGCGGCAGATGATATTTTTGCCATGCTATATCCCAAAGATAGTTCATGTTAGCAAGAAAAGGGGCAGTGAATTTAAATTATTATTTTCCATAAAACATCTTACCTAGATCTAAACAATACATAACAAGGTGCACTTATTCTTTACGTATGATCGTAAATAATAACTACATCTCGTAAAGACGTAATACATCATCAGCTCATAATTTTGGGCAATGGTGTTTTGCCAGAAGTGATAACCACAATAAAAAATCTTATAGTGGCCCGATGCTTTTGATTGGTACTTTAATACTAATAAAAGCAACAATAGTGACTAGATACTGTTGTGTGCGCTCGTAATGCAAGCTTCTGTTCACGATCACTTGTCCCTGTTGAGGCACAGGCATGTCGAAGATGTCGTAGCCTACTGCATTGTAAGTTTCAACGGCGCATATATCTTCGTTGATTGTTTAAAGTATTCTAAATCTGATTAAAACGAACTTTGCTTCAGCAACTCAGAAGTTGCTGAAGCGGCTATCGCGACGGAAAGCACCGTTTCGAATCTAGTTTTGAGTTAAAATAACAAGGTGCAGTTCTGACAATTGCATTTTTATTTTATTTATAGCTTACCAAACCTATACATATATTGTCAGAAGGCTAAATAATGGCTAAGTACAGAAAAAATTATGATACGTCAGCCATTTAAAAAGGTGAGATACATTGCAAACGTATGGAGAAATGCACACCACCGCGTTCCAATGGATCTGGAGCCTACAAATTGCGGCTGGGTAGAGCAAGGATCAATGTATGAACTGAAATAGTTTGAGGGCCCTCAAATACCTTTAACAGTCAACGATGTTATACGACAAAATGAAAACGAAGAATCTGGAGCTGAAGGTAAAATATTCAAGTACTGCATTGTGTTAAAAATTGTATTTTCAATTTGTTAGATTTTTATTATATTTTTAATATTTTTTTTCTTGTTACAAAACAAGATTTAGATATGTAATTAAATAATAAGACTTCCTTTATATAAATATACTTACCTTTAACTCCATCTACTTTTGACTTTCTAATAATGACAAAAATTTAAATTAAAAAAAAAATGGCCAAATTTTCATAAAATTATCTGAAATAAAAAAATGGATTTTATGCTTCAGGAACTTCTTATCATAGAGTACCTGTTAGGGCTTTCATCCCGGGAGTCTCGGTCTCGAAAATTCCAAGAGTATCGACGATTTTGTCGCATTTTCGAGACTCGAGACCTCAACTCCAGTTTTTGATACTTTCGAGACTTAGTTAAATAATCTACAAAAAATACCAATCTACTAAACTACCATTCTTTTTTTAAATCGGTTACGTGGCAACACTGTAAAGTGAAAGTTAGGATAATCTGTAGAGATTGCAACCTAACCTCAAACACAATACGTTCACAACTTCACTTATTGTTTCTTTATAAAAAGTGTGAATTTTATAGCTACGATGTGTTCCTTAGCACAACAGTTGGTGGTGACAGAGGAAGGCATTTAAATCCGTGCTATAATTATTTGTTATACATCCTCCCTACTAGCGTCGAAGCAGAGAGAGCTTTTTCTAATGCAGGTTACTTTTGCAACAAGATCAGATCCTCTCTATCTGAAAACACTTTGAATGCCCTTTGCTTTCTGCGTGCCTATTATAAAAATCTTAATTTCACTTATGTTTGATTATATTGTAATAGTTGATTATTAAAGAACTTAATTGAAACTATTGTATTAATTGCCTAATTGTATAAACCTTAAGTATGAAACTTATTTTCAAAGTCTCGAAAGTCTCGTTTTTACCGGGAATCCCGGGACCGGTGCGAGTCTCGATTTTTTTCCCGGGACTCGAAAATGTTGACTGAAAGCCTAGAACCTGTAAACTCTCAGCAAAACTTCTCCATTTTTTTTACTTTCTATAATTTTTTTGAGTAAAAATTATTGTTTTAAAGTCTGTCGTCTAAGTCAGCAACACAATTTTTATATTTATTTTTTATCTCCCTCGCTTAACCTTTTGTCATTGCATATTTATTAAAATAACAGTGTAAATAATAAAAACAATAAATAGCCGAAACTGCACCCTGTTATTTAATTTTGAATCTAAATTCGAAACGTTCCTTTTCAACGCGATAGCCGCTTCAGCAACTTCTGGTCATATCATAATTTTTTCTGTACTTAGCCATTATTTAGCCTTCTGACAATATATGTACAGGTTTGGTAAACTATAAATAAAATAAAAATGCAATTGTCAGAACTGCACCTTGTTATTTTAACTCAAAACTAGATTCGAAACGTTGCTTTCCTTCGCGATAGCCGCTTCAGCAACTTCTGACTATATCATCAATTTTTATGTACTTAGCCATTATTAAGACTTCTGACAATTTATATACAGGTTCGATAAGCTACAAATAATATGAAAACGAATTTGTCAGAACTGCACCTTGTGGTTTAAATTTAAACAATTTCTTTACAACTTTCTTGACTTCTGACAGTCTTTAAGCCCCAACCTAGACTTCTGACAACAATTTTCCTAGATTCCTACAGTTAAAAATTATAATTCTACCAAATTTTAGAACTGCACCTAATCATTTTTTTCATATTGAAAATTTACGTCTTTGACCGCCCACCCACGCCTTCCGCCCCGGGAGAGAGTTCTGACGGGTCTCGCTCTGTACTTATAGGCTACCAAGGAGAGGTTATATATATAATTCGTTACTGCACCTTATCAGTTCACATTTTCGTAGCCAGCTCTCCGACTATATGAACGAATTTAAGAATAATTAAAATAAGACGCCAACCGCACTCGACGAAATCCCGCCAAAAACCCCGTTTTCTTTTTTTGGGCTCTGGAAATTGTTTACTTTAAACCGAAGAGGTTGATTCATAGCGGGCCTCGTTTAGAATAATACCAATGGTCATTGGTACGGACGGATTAATAAATTGGTAGGACTTCTTCGGCGAGTAGTATATATAGGTATACACTGTACATGTTTTCTCACGGAAAAATCAATAGCGACTATACTCACAAAAGCAACAATAGTGACTTAATACTGCTGCGTGCGCTCGTAATTTAAACTTCTGTACACGATCACTTGTCCCTGGTGAGGCACAGGCACGGCGAAGAAGCCGTACTCGTCCGCTGCATTGTCAATGTCGCATAAGAGTAATTTGTTTAAAGTATTTTTGATCAAACTTTCATAATATACTTACAGAAGCAACAATAGTGACTAGATACTGCTGCGTGCGCTCGTAATCCAAGCTTCTGTTCACGATCACTTGTCCCTGGTGAGGGACAGGCACGGCGAAGAAGCCGTAGCCGTCCGCTGCATTGGCGGCCTCCAAGGTAGCATTGTCTCCTGGTATGATGTAGTATTCCGCTAAGCCGTTCACACCGGCGTCTATGTCTACCGCTCTGATGCCCTCGAATATCGTCGTGCCTATTGGTACGAGCTGGAAACGCAGATTTTTGTGTTAATTAAAGTACTTTAGCTTCTTAAATCAAAGTGGAATTCAGTTTTGTCAGTCAGTATTTATTTTCAAAATATTGATTGCAAAATCATGTAAGCTACTTATGTTTTAGAAAATTGACAGCAATACCAAGTCAGTTATTTATTTTCAAAATATTGATGGCAAAACCTAGTACTTAAGCTATTTATTTATTATCGAAATATGGATGGCAAAACCAAGTAAGAAATACTTATCGAAATAATCAAATATGTTTACTTTAAAAAAATATATAGATACTTAATAAAGAACATTATACCTAAACATAATTGTATAATTGTAAACAAGATAACAAAATTCAAAAGATCTTTACATTATCTGCTAAACATTGAGACTTGAGAGTGATAAATAGTAAAGACAATCATTTCTAACTATTGTGTTATCTTTTGTATACTTAAGCTTGGTTATGAAAGTAAGTGTTCTATGTTCCTTCTGCCGCCCAAGCGATACAAGCGTAGGTATCTATGTAAAACACGTTATCCACAATCTCACCTCAGATACGCTCGTTTCGTAAGGCAGTCCCTGGAACACCGGCGCGTTATCGTTGATGTCTGACACCCTCACGATAACTGGTATGGTGCGCCGCTTCTTCGTGGCTTTCACCTGGCACACGAGCTGTGGGCGAAACAAGATAATTTAGAAACGTCATACATCGATTATAATATTAAAGTCAAAATGTTACTTTTTAATTGGAAATTGTTCCAAACTTCAGAACATTTAATGAGCACAAAGATATCGACGGCTGATCTGCCTCCGTCCTGTAAAACCACGATTTCGTACACTCATACCAATAAACCCAGCCCCAAAGTAAAGCACAGCAGGGCTTGTTTTATGAGATACTAGGGTAAAGGATAGAAATACACATAATGAAACATCGTCATAAAAATATTTACCCTTGCCGGGATTCGAGCCCAGGTCTTCAACGTAATCAGCCAGCACCATGTTAGTACATACCGGTTTACCACAGAGATAAGATTAAGATATCAAAAACAAACGCTCTATTTTCAAATTAAAAGTTCTTTTTCTATTCTATTAGCTGTGGAGCAAGAGACTCCACAACAATAACTGAATTGCAATAACATTTATATTATGTTAACGGTAAATTCGCCCCCGACACATTGTAATTAGTCACAACAACAGATGGGAAAAGTAACAGTATTGACATAATTACCCAATTTGGTTCTTCAAAATTGAGCATACATTCAAAGAATCCAAACCTACAAAAACTACGACGAATAGTCGAATTAAAACATTTATGGTAAAAATAATTGTTGTCTCAATATTTTATTTATATGATTAAAATGGTTTCTCGTTTTGTGATTGTTGTCCTAGTCAGTTTATGATGATAAATTATATACTGATGAATATATAAAAGAGAAGATTTGGATGCAACGATTTTCAGATAAAACTATTTCGTGCAGCAAAATAGCACACATAGTCACGAAGAAACTTACAAAGTACCATGAAACAGTTGAAATATACAAGAAATTCAATCAGTAAGTTAGATATCAACGGTCGTTTGTATGAAAGTCGATCGTTTGTTTGTTTGTTTCGAAAACAACAACAAAGTCATAGTCAATCTAAAATGCCATGGCGTTGTTATTCAAAACATGGACTGCATGAGACTAGAATAACAATTGCTCAGCAATGACAAACTGGATAATGCAATACAATCACTAGTCATGTTTGTTCGTTATGACAATGAAAAGTAAATAAAAAAAAATCGACGGGTTGCACTCCGGGAGTGCCGGCAGAAGTGAAAACTTGAATATTAATGTTGTGCATTTTTGATATTTTGGAATGGTTAGGGAATATTTTTTCACGAATTGCTTTAATTATTAGTATAAAAGTACTATCATTTATGTGATAGAATACAATATTTATTTATTGCGCTATCGTACACAAACATAATAATTTATATTACATTAAAAAGTTTATCCCTCAAAAAAAATCAACTTTCGTGAATCACATTTAAGCGCACCTAGCGACATCTATTGTAAAAAAATGCATTTTCTTCGCAACAAAGCTGCCACCTGGGGGTCTACTCTCTTTCTCCGAAACGAACTTTCGATAACGAAGTTCAAACGAAATTTAATTTCGTCAATTTAAGGTAATACTTAATGTGAACGCGATCAGCCCACGTTTCACATTTTTTACCCATACAAAAAAAGTGCACAACGCCGCTAAAGAAGTTTTCACTTCAAAAAAGTCATTCTTTAAAAATGGATTATCGAAATTGTACTTTACCTGAAATACCATATGTGATAAATTTTCAGCATCTCTGTCCAGCGGCTGCAACAGTTGCAGTCGCTTGCCATCCAGCTGGAATAACGTTGGACCCTTGGGGAACACCGTAGACAGAACCACGTCAACATCAGGCTCGCCCACTATAGGTAATACTGCCGGCACTGTACTTTGGTTTACTTCTGCAAATATAGAAGAGTAAATATACTATGTAAGCAGCGAAAAGTATTTTATTAGGTATAGAAAATTATTATAATAACAGTACTAACTTCCATCAAGATTTGAAACAATAAAAAAATATAATTGCAGTTACATTGATAAAAATAAATTATTACTCACGGTTTCCTCTGCTCTCTTCAATGTCTACGATGATACTAGTCTGGCCCGTTTCCACTTCACAGGGACCTATTAAAATAAAAATTTATGAATCATGAACAACATTCAAAGTTGCACATTTAAGTAGGTATATTTAAATTTATTTTAATTATTTTTGTGTAATCTTTGCTTATTATTATTATTTTTCTCTGGAGGTGGGCGTTAGCAGCTGCAACATAGTTTTATACTTCAGCAGCTTCTAATGTACACATGTTTTATGCAATGTCTTTTTTCGTTAATAAAGATTTATTATTTATAATTATTATTAAAGTAAGTCGTACTTTTCTGGATTAAAAAAGGAGTTTTAATATAAATACATTAATATATATAGCAGTCAAACACATTATAACAGGGACATAAAGTTTGACAAAGAGCCACTACAGTCGTGGCTTAAACAACAATACAACAAATTCCAATAATCGTTCAAACGTGAAACGGCCGTTAACAAAACAGAAATATCGACTACATTGTGGAAGCTATAAAAACCGACATTAAATTGTGGAAGCACAACTCCGATTTGAAACTAAATGCAACCGCGGAAGCTCAAAACTGAAACACGAGCGAAGAAATAGGATCGTGTCCAACTAACAAACGGCAATAAATAACTGTATCGACAGGTGCACTGCAAAATTTCACATAGGGCTTCGTTAAGCTGTGGCCCTAATTAACACATCTGCAGCCGAGTGTTTCGAAGCCTTAACTCCTTCTGGTATGATTTAATTAACTTAACATTCAACGTCGTCTTGAATTCTTGTAACTGAGTTACTTAAATCTTAAATATTAGGAAAGGACTTTGCGTCACTATTAAGTACTTACACCGAAACTGAACGTTTACAAATTGTATCTTATATTTCCACAATCAATACACTTTTCAGTGAGTTTAAAAATGCTTATACTTGCATATATTTTTATTTTACATATAACTTCCGAATGTTAAACAATTTCACAAATTGCTAAGCTAACTGTATTTAATCAACTTATATTAGCATACTGAGTTAGTATTTCCAATTCTTAATTTTTTATTTAATAAGACAAGACAATGTTTATTTTCAGACCTATCAAACAAAATCATCCTATCAATCAAGATATCTTTTATGCGTTTATTAATGCAGTTTAGCAGTTGTTTGGATAACTTAATGGATAAAGCTTTCATAATGATTTTATCATTGATTTGCTAAAACCTAGTTTTTTATCATTATTAAATGACAAAACTGATCCAAGTTTGTTTAGGTTCAACATTGCAATCGAGTTTTATAGGTGCGTCTGAGACTGTACAATTAAGAACTTATTTGTCACAAACAAGGCTTTCGCGTAAGACAGAACCATAAAAGACCGTCTTAATTAGGTACATTAGTTTCAAAAAGCAAGTTTATTATATTTCAGATCTACCATAAAAGGTGTAAGCGGGTTATTGACAGGTAATACTCGCCCATATAGGAAATAGTGCCAATTAAAAAGCATATTTTCTGAGCTTGTTCTGGAAGACAGATCAAAATCATTCATAAAAAATAACTATGGTGTGTTATGGACCATACCATAGTAATTAGTTTTAGTAGTCTATTTCTTAACGAAAGCTTCTTGGAAATTTAAAGTGTGCCTGGAGTCCTGGTATGTATGCATCTCGATGTTTTTTTTTATGTAGTATGTATTTAAATACTAAGTTAGTATATGGATATATCTATGTTACCTCTGCCTATCCCGTTTAAAAAACAGACATAGCTTTAGTGTACAAAATTTATTGTGCCAAGTTCAATTGCTGTTCTAATTTACCATTCAGTTTACAATTGCGATGAGTCACCTCCTGTATTAAAAGATCAATCTGCGATCATTATCTAACCCGACTTTCACTGACATCATCACATTTCATAGCTTAACGAACATACCGTTGCGCGTTGTTTTGTTATAAACTATTCAAACAAACAAACTATTATGTATTGAACAATTCTCAAACATTACCATTGAATGAGAATTGGTATCGCATCATGAAACATATCCTCATTGTACGATGATACAAACAAATATTCCAATAAATTCTTGTCAACGCAATGCGTAAATCGTTTTGAAATATAATTTTAATATAACTAAAACTCTTTCCCAGATAACTTATATTTATATTATTTAATCCCAAGTTCAGAAACGTTACCTAAGCTTTTAATTATCTTTAATACAGTTTCCTGGTTTACATCAAGTTTTTCTTCTTCATATTGAAACAGATAAAAGAAAATGTATAAGCTTTGCAATTTCTTACCCTAATTGAACCAATTACTTTATATGAATTATAAATAAAATAGTCTGTTAACTTACCAGGCGTCGCCGATGCCAAGACGACGACATGTAGGAGGCAAAACGAGAGAATCCAGATCCTTTTCCCATGCCACTTGAGCGCACCCCACCGCGCCATCTCACTGCAACAATAAAACAAAATAAAATGAAACCTGCATTCAGAAATTAAATACGCCACACCGCTGGTGTTACAAGCATATTTATTTGAAGTATTAACAACTCATTTTAGAGCATTTCAATATCTATAATTAGAAAAAAAATGTTATATTAGGTATAAATATTACACGACACGAGGGTCTGATGTAAGCTTGAATGATTAATTATTTCTGTTATTAATTTAATAGTGCGCACATTTTAAAACGCATTCATGTTCATAAGCCTATAAGTTTCACACCATCTACATAGCGGGCACCCTTTTACGATACATGACGGTTTTAAATTGAAATTTGCTGCATACGGAAGATTAAATTCATTCTCGTTTACGTTCGTCTTATCTTGTTTATTACACTTTATATTACGTGCGAGTGTGCGCCCGGACCGGTTAAAAGTCGCCCGTCCGCGTAACTTATGGCAAAACTAGTCTCGGTGAATTAACTATCGACATTATCTTCAATAATTCTAGTAAATCATAAGAAAAGGTTCATTTAAAAACCACACCTACGGAAGATGCGGCCAGCAATGCCTGAGTGGGAGGTGCCGATAAATAACGAGGAACAACAACGTGACGATACTGCAAACTTAAACGAGCTTGGCGAACGCTAGATTATAATCTAACCGATTAGTCTCAGAATTATGTTGAGTAATGGGGCCAGAACATTGTATCAATACGTCACGCCTCGGATTAGCATATGAAAGGGTATTCTCGCTGCGCACACCAGGTACGAATCTAACGCCTTAGCGCGTGTTTATGGACTACATGGCTTGAATGTCTTAACGTCACATAAAAACTAAATGCAAAAAATTACACATAAGAACTAAATACAAAATATGCAAACCATTAACAACTTATCTCACTCGGGTATAAATAAATTACTAATAAGAATCTAAAAGAGTCCGTCCGTCCGAAGGTTCCATATGAAAACTTCGATAATGTAACCCAACGTGTGTAAAAAAATACCAAAAAATAACCTTATATCGCGTACGCTGCGGAAGTCATTGACACTGGAGCAAAGTGATGTACCAAAGTTTCAATCATCATTTTTTTCAAGAATCATTTGAAACCTCACCTTATATTAGAATGAAGAAATAAAACCTCATACAAAAGGAATAAGCCATTGGAAGATTAGTTCTAAAATCTAATCAAATAGCGCGCACTTTCGCGACTTCCTGTTACACATTTCCGTCCCATTTCACGAAATAACTCCCACAAATTACAGGAAAGCGAGAGGAAAGATGTTACACATCAAAAAGTCCGCGATACCATATGTCTTACTATCACAGTTATGTCACAACTAGAGATTTAAGATGCGTTAATTTGAAGAAAAAGGTTATAGTGAGTCAAACTTAAAATATGGACATATACTATGACGGACTTTTTTAAAGATTTTTCAAAGGGGAACAATTCAGTCATAATGATTTTCGTGTCCGTTTACCCAGCGCACGCAACGAAATCTCACAAATGGAATATATTTACCCGTTTTTGCAACATTTTTTATCGATGCTCCACTGCTACTGGGCGTAGCCTGATGTTGTGTAGCCTATAGCCTTCCTCGATAAATGCACTATCGAATACAAAAAATTTTTTTCAAATCGGAACATCAGAGCAACGGTGCATTCGGTAAAACTACGCAACATTTTTTTTACTTGGAATGGAAGGTTTATGAAGAAAGTCATTGTGTATACACAATATTACATGAATTTGAACAAAAACTATAGTTTACACTATAGCTCTACAGCGAAGCGAGGGCGGACCACTAGTTAAAACATAATTGTATAATCATAATACTAAAAGCTCTAAATAAGCCTTGAGAGCAATTCAAAAATTAATTTCTCAATAATCAAAACCAAGGATATTGTCATAAAAGTAAAATTACATTAAAACAGCAAATACCATGAACTCATCAAACATTACATTTTTGAAAACAGTAACGAATTTAATTAGTATTTAACCTTGTTGTAGAACGTTGTCCTTTAACGGAATTATGATTTGTGTGTGTGTCTGTCACAAGAACGGTCCACGGCCCTGCGACCAGCCAACATTAAGCATATTAACCTACCATACCATACATAAACACATGTAGAAATCGGTCTTGCGCTTTCAGGCCAAAATCTCAGAATAATGCCAACACAAACAATAAAGCCCGCCTGATAGGCTTGCAATGCCGAGTAACATACGCGAATTGCCTACTCTGCATTCACCCCCCAAGAGCCCTAGAAGCTTACCGACAAAAAAATCACTAGGTACCTTACGAGTCTTTTCGCTGTAGTATTCTGTAAACTAGAAGATACTTCTCAAACAAGCGCTCCAAATTTTAGCAGAAAACCACTAATGCTTTATCTCTCATAAAAGATTAATTACTTTTTGAGTTTTTTGGGGCTATGCAGTTCTAATGGAATTGTAGTCAATGCGACCTAAAAGATTTATTGTAACTCTCTACCAAGTCAAAAGTATTTCTTTTAGCCTGTAGAAGCTATCGAGCTTCTAAGAAGCTCAAAACGTTCTCGCTTTTAGAGATTTGATTTCCTCTGGGCGTATTAAATATCGCCCAGATGAATACAACTTTTGTGGATGAGAGGCTCACACGCACATAGTGTTTTGGTGTTCCACGCTCCTCTAAAAGATGCAAAAATTATACTGAGTACCATCACTATTAATAATAATGGACCTGTTGAGAAGAAGTCTCACTTGTTATTATTTGAAAATGGGATTACATAACGCGCGGTTAGCGCCGATAAAATTAGCGACGGAAATGTGCTTGCAGAAATTATGCGATGCTTTCTTTTAAGTTTGATACAAAAAACAATAAATCTTTTTTTTTATTTCATGGCGTGAATGAAAAATTTATCACTAAAGATAATACTGCTCTAACTTAATTAGAAACTGTAAAATGTAGTATATTAATGTTGGCATATCCCATGTTTAAGTAATAAAGAACCCCCAACAGAATGAAGTCGGTTAGCATAAATCAAGCATTAAGCACTATTAAGTTATTGTTGCAAGACAACCAGTAAAAGTTCTTTACTGAGACTGGTGCTAGCAGGCGATATTGTATATATGTCATTTTAATGGTTTATTGCTGGCCGAGCAACGTTTTTACATTTAACGAGCAATGCTACACAAATCGACTTGCATTAAAGCATTCAGGCTATACCTTTATGAAGCCCTTGAGGCGACCTATAGCAGTGATTTACATAAATGAGAGCATTTGTTCGGATGTAAGTCTTAATAACAATAATAGCATATATCGTTCTGCATGGCTGTGATTCAAAAGCTTTGCCATGTTTATCTTGTCCCATCCGTAGTATGTACAGTTTAACGCTTTAATACTTAATGTAAGTAAGAAACAATAGATTCGATAAATTGCAATGTACCGCAAGCTTACCATTCACTGTGTACCCATCGGTAATTTGCACACGGCATTATAATGAAAATGGAGTACCAGACAGGCGTGGAAAACTATAATTTTCGTTAGGAATTCGTATTGTAATGGCGCGGCAGTTACCCATTGCCATTGTCTGGCTGAGCGCGCTCGAACACTCCCGCGCACGTTCGGGGCGCAAATACAATAGCGGGGAACACCAACGAACGTTAGCAAACTCTTCCTGTGCAATGTTTGAAGATAAGATGCAGGAAAATCTTGTGAAAATGATGTGGTCATACGACATAGAAATCAAGTTGGATATAAATATAGGTACTTAGAATGCTAAAATAACAGGAGTTGTCATTAAGATGTATAAAGATAAAGGAATACTACACTAACATAATTTTCTGATGAACTCAAATTATTGAGCAAAATACCTATATCAACCATCAGTGAAATTGAAAAGCAAATATAATTTCATAGCCGAAGTTACCTTATAGACTTTACGTTCAGATCAAAGGCTACGAAGGACCACATTTCATCTGTAGCATTAAATTTACCCGTCGTCCTATCAATTTATTTAGCTAACGGCGACAACTCTTGCGAACCCATCGCGGTGCATATTGTTTTATTGCTATTGCCCACACATGCGCGAACCTATTAGAATTTACAATAACTTGTGCGTGCTACAGAATTAATTTCAAATAGAACAATATGAGATATAGTAAAATGAGCAAGCTAAGAACAATGCACAAAAGAAATGCGACAATATTTATCGTCATGTATCCGAAGTCACAAATATATAAAAGGTTGATAAAATAGATTTAACACTTATAGTTAATACATAAAAATCAATAAGTAACGTTAATTTCGAATAAAGTCATATTAGTAGAAGTCGAAAAGCCAAGCAAACGTGTCTCGTGCAATGTGGCATTTAAGTTTATCTCGACGATCTAATTAAATTACTAGAACAACGCCCTACCTAGAACAGTCGCAGTAGCCACATAGAACCTTTTCGATTTAGCTTTAGTCATGAGCCAGCCGATTATAGTTACTTCATCCTTCACTAGAGACAGGTGTAAGTTACTCCTGCAATTCTACATTCCAAACAGAGTCATAGTTAGGAAGAAATATGGTTCATTTTACATTACAGTTTTTTTGAACGTTTAAAGTTCCAATTTATTAGAACTCCGAAGCTATTTCGTCACAAGCCTCGGCGTACTGAGACATAAATGTGCCTATTTCTTAACAAAAAATAGAAACCATTTTGTAAGCAAAAATGGTTTAAATATTTTCTGTAAGTACTGATGGAGTCTGTAGATAGAAAAAGCCACCCAGAAGAAAGGACACCAATAAATATCGGAGGCTTGACATAAGGTTAGGTTATCTGCGCTTGTAGCGAGGTATCTATCAAGCAATCTTCTCTGTGACTTGAATTTTCTGATGCTATCGTCAAATGCGACATGCTGCATAGTTTGACGTGTACAAGCCATAACCGCCTTTTAAGGAGAACATTTTGTGTAAATATCTTTATCCGGGTCCTCAATATTGTTGTGACTTCATATTTGATGTCATTCTACACTTTAAAATGTTCATG